AGCACCAGCACCATGTGGGGGCTGTGTGAGAAGTGGCTTTCTCGTGTGCTGTGCTTGGCTCTGGGCTTGGCACCAGCAAGGCCACAGCAGTGCCAGCCACCGCTAGCCTTAGGTGGGACCATATACATTTGCTGATGTTTGGCTAACCATTTTTTGATGTGGAGTTTCTCAGAGTTTAACCTGTCATTGCCACCCCTCTGTCTGGCTCCTGGAGTGTGAGGCTGGTTGTACTGAGGCCCTTGCCCCAATCCCACCTGGTGAGTTGGGTTCCAGCTTATCCCTTACCTCTTTCCCTTCCATCCCCATGTAGGCTCAGCCCCAAGCAGTGGAAGGGGCCTGTGCAGCCCCTCACCAGCTCCCTTCTTACCAGGTGGGGAGATGGACCCCAGGGGGGCAGATTTTTTTCTTTTTTTCTTTCTTTTTTTTAAAATACTCTCACTCTGCTGCCCAGGCTAGAGTGCCATGGCCTCAGCCTAGCTCACAGCACCCTCAGGCTCCTGGGCTCAAGCGATCCTTCTGTCTCAGCCTCCGGGGTAGCTGGGACTACAGGTGCATGCCACCATGCCTGGCTGATTTTCCTTTTTTTGTAGTGATGGGGTCTTGCTTTTGCTCTTGCTCTGGCTGGTCTCGAACTTCTAAGTTCAAGTGATCTTCCTGCCTCAGCTTCCCAGAGTGTTGGAGTGTTGGGATTATAGGTGTGAGCCCCTGTGCCCAACCAGGAGGCAGATTCTTGCCAGTGACATACAACCTATTAGAAATAGACCTAAGACTGGAATTCCATTTCTTGACTCCCAATTCAGCTCTCTTTCTAGTACATCAGCCTGCCAGTGTCTGGAGCCAGAGCTGGGTCGTGGTGGGCCAGCTGTCACCAGGGAGTGCTGAGCAGCTCTGGGAGTTTGAAGAGGTGCAGGACAGTGGTGTTTCCAGAACTCCTCTTGGAGGAGATGCTGCATGGGCTTAGGCCCAGCTCCATCACTTAAGGGTTGAGGGAACTTGGTCTTCTCATCTGTATGGTGGAGTCACAACAGTTTCTAACTCATGAGCTATTACGAGGATTAAATGAATCAATATTTCTATCTCGTATTTTCAATTATAAAATTATAAACTACAGTTTACAAACATATTTAGAAAACAGTGGAGAGCACTCAGAGTTCCTGGCACTTTGTAAGGGTCCTATGAACATTTGGTATTATTATTAGGGGGGGAGTTTGGACCACGGCTGAGGACAATAGGGAAGAGTCCTGGAGGACCTTTGAGGTCCTCCTGTTCCTCCACCCCCTCCTGTGCCCAGCCTTGTCTCTAAATATACACGGGACAAATGCTTAGAGAGACCAGCAGGATGCCTTGGGGCAGGGCTTGGCAGGGGTTCACAGCTTCCCGCCTCCATGCCAGCGTCTCTTTCACAAGGGACAAGGGGCATTGCTGTAAGCCTTGTTTACAGAGGCTGGGGGTTTCTAAGTCAGATGAAGCAATCCCCGTAAGGTGCTCAGACCAGTCCTGGTCCCAGTGAGTCCTGCCTAGGGATTTGGCAATAATAGCAACCCTCCCACCGGAGGTAGAAAGCAAACTTCACAGGAGAGAGGATGTTGGTCTGTTTTATTCAAGACACATCCCAGCTACCTAGAACAATGCCAGGTGTGTGGTAGGGGCACAGCAAAAACAGGAAAGAATAAATTGGTCTTTTCCCTCAAGGAGATTGAAACCTAAAGGAGGGGTCTGGAAAACAGCCACGGGCACTGCGAAGATCAGTTCTGGGCAGCTCAATTTGCAGGTCCGCCAGCCGGCTTTCCAAGTCACCTTGGTCCTATTGCCCCATCTCTAAGAGTCAGGCACCTTTCATCGCCATGGCCCCTGCTTCATCTGCCTGTAATTTAATCTCACCTGGAGAATTGCAACACACTCACCTTCCACACCCTCCTCCGTGAAACTGAAAGAGGGACTTCCTAAAAATAAATTAGTCAGGTTGGATGGCTTGCTCCCTGCCTAAAAGTGTTTGAAATCTTCTCATTGCCTCCAGGCTAATATCCAACTCCTATGACCAAAAAGCACACGCAAAGATGCTCGGCATCCTTAGTCATAAGAGAAATGCAAATCAAAAACCACCATGAGATGCCTCTTCACACCCACTAGGATGGCTAGAACCAAAAAGACACAATAACAAGTGTTAATAAGGATGTGGAGAAATTGGAACCTTCCTACATTGCTGGGGAAAATGTAAAGTAGCGTAGCTGCCTTGAAAAATTGTTGGGTAATTCCTCAAAAGGTTAAATGTAGAATTACCAGGTTGCCCAGCAATTCCTCTCCTTGGCAAATACCCAAGAGAATGAAAAACGTGTGTCCACACAAAACTTACACACAAATGTTCATAGCAGCTTTAATCACTATAAAAAAAACAAAACTGGGAACAGCCCAAATGTCCATCAGCTGATGGATACATCAGTAAAATGTGGCTGTCTTAGTGCAATTGTGCTTCTGTAACAAAATACCACAGACTGTGTAATTTATAAGTAATAGAAATTTATTTCTCGCAGTTCTGGAGGCCGGGAAGTACAAGACCAAGTTACCCCAGCAGGCTCAGGGTGAGATAAGACGGCACCTTGCTGCGTCCTCCAGAGGAAAGGAAGGCTGTCCCTTCATTTGGTTGAAATGGGCAAACCTGGTTCCTCAAGCCCTTTCGCATACGTGAGGGTGTAGCCCTCAAACCTAACCACCTCCTAAAGGTCCTGCCTCTGGCAGTGAGGATTACTTGTCAACATGAATTTTGGAAGGGACATACACTTGCAAACCACAGCACTGATACATCCACACAATGGAGCACTTTTCAGCCATAAAAAGGTAGGAAGTACTGGTTCTCACTACAATCTGAACGAGGTGGAAAACATTACTAAGTGAGAGAAGCCAGTCCCCCAGAACCACATCTTGTATGATCACATTTCTGTGAAGTGTCCAGAACAGGCAGATCCAGGGAGGCAGACACAGATGAGGGGAAGGATGCAGAATTTCTTTGGGGATGACGAAAATGTTCTGGAATGAGATAGTGATGGCTGCATAACCTCATGCAAATACTAAAAAGCCACTGAATCACACACTGTTAAAAGGTGGGCTTTACAGTATGTGATGACATCTCAGCATTCAACACAGAGTGGATGGTCCGGAACTCTAGTCACTGGTTCTGGCCCGAGACCTCTCACCTGTGCCATCTTCTCTTTTCTCTCTGACACCAGCAGGCGGCCCTGTCACATTCACCTTTTGGAAGCTACTATATCCTTTCCGAGCCTGCTCATCAACCTCCAAGGCCCTGCTCACCTCTTTCCTTCTGAGTCTCCCAGAAATGCTTCTGTCTCGTCTTCCCCTCTGGGATTCTTGTGGCTTTCCTTAGCCAACCTCCCTCCCACTCAGGATGTGGAAGCTCATTATAGCAGGTACAGGAAGTTTTGACCCTGAGGACATTTGAGAGATAAACATTTAAATCTGAATTCTACCAGCTCTGTTGGTTTTCATCAAGGGCATACTTTCCAGAGCAAACGCCACAGAGCTTTACTAAACCGCTGATTACCCTTCTAGAGAACTGATCTAGATGTGTTGTGGAACTGCCCGTCTCTCCCCCATTTTCATTTTAGCTTTTAATCGTATTTGCTTCTTCCTTGTTGACAGTGCGGGCCTCATTGTGTCCTACAAGCCTGTGTTCTCAGAGTGTATGGCCAGCAGGGCCAGATTCCACCGCTGGGACTTGAGTCTTCCGCCTCCGCTCACGCCACGGAATATTTCTCCCATGTAGCTCTGGCCTTTCTGAGTTTTATTTTGTCTCATTGTCCTCATGATAATGTTCATTGTGGATTGAACACAAGACTGATAGATGACAGTTATTTCTCCAAATATTAATAAAGTTTTAAAGATACCATGCGTACCTGTAGGGGAAAAGGGCAGGCAGAGGGGACTAGCTGGCTTTTGTCCCGTCCCCTCCACCCTTTAAAGGCCACAGCTCAGGACGCTGGCTCTGACCCATCCTCCGGCAGGGGTCTCCCAGGGTCCGGACTGTGGATGGGAGGGGTGACAAGGGAGACGCAGCAGAGCAGGCTCAGGGAGACCCAGTGACCCCAGGGAGCTCTGGAGTTCAGCTGTTCCCAGAGAGGACAAGGGTTCCTATGTCCCAGGCAGGCCAGTCATCATGTTCATGCAGCCTCCTCCCCAGGGCTGGGACCGGGGTGGCCATTGTCACCCGCCATCACCAAGTTATCTCCATTCTCCTTGTACCCTTTTTAGACAAATACTTATAAAATTTTTATTTTCTTTGCCTGTAATTTTTCTTTTCCTAGCACTCTGGGAGGCCGAGGCAGATGGATTGCCTGAGCTCACAGGTTCGAGACCAGCCTGAGCCAGAGTGGGACCCCCATTTTTAAAAAGAGCTGGATATTGTGGCAGGCACCTATAGTCCCAGCTGAGACAAGAGAATCGCTTGAGCTCAGGACTTTGAGGTTGCTGTGAGGTATGATGCCACAGCACTCTACCAAGGGTGACAAAGTAGGACCCTGTCTCAAAAAAAAAAATTTTTTTTTTCTATTTTCTTGTACCTCTGGAGGCTCCCCCAGCCCTGTTAGCTGTCAGGAGCCACTGTGTCTTCTGTTCCACAGCCACCTCCTTGCTGCCTCAGGGGGAGCCCACACAGAGGAGGTGGGTGGGCCTTAGCCTCAGGCGGCCTGGGGAGCAGAGCCTTCAGAATTGAGGCTTTTTTTCTTTTTCTTCTAAGACAACTTTCTAGGGCTTTGGAGTTATAAAAAGATCCCATGTGTCACTTTCTGGCAGTTGGACAGCTGCAGAACGCCACTCCAAAGTGTGCCCGTCCTACCCGAGCTCTGTCATGGGACTGATGGGTTGGGCAAAAGCAGATGAAGGTTATTGCCAATCTGCTATAAGGAGGTTTGTTAACTTATTAAAAAAATCTAATGCAAAATATGCCTTTCCAGACACCCCCCCCCCAGTGTCTCAGGGGTTGAGGGCTGCAACCACCCTGGGAGGTGAATGCAGAGTTGGAGAATAGGGCGTGAGGGTGTGAGGAGGGCGAACAAGGCCCCTGCGGGAAAGGACTGGCCCCCTGTCCACAGGGTGAGTGCCACCTGCCTTGGTGGGTGACTCTGGCCTCATCTCAGGTATGACAGAAGGTGACTCAACTCCTCTTCCTGCCCGCCTCAGCCCCATGGCATCTGGCCCTGTCCTGCAGAAGGAGAGAGTGTTCCAGTCGGGAGCCCATGCCTACAGAATCCCTGCTCTGCTCTACCTGCCGGAGCAGAAGACCCTGCTGGCTTTTGTGGAGAAACGGATGAGCAAGAAGGACGAGCACGCAGAGCTGATTGTCCTACGCAGAGGATACTATGATGTGTCAGCACACCGGGTGCAGGTGAGGCAGGGCATGGCTGTAACTGTGACATGGTGCCTTGCCACTCACCCCTGTGCTGGTCTGAGGGGGGAGCAAGTCCTGAATATCATGGAATGGGGGGAAATTCCATCCCTCAATGGCTGCGGTCTGGGGGATTGGAGGGAAAAGACACAGGAGTCTAAGAGGGGCTGAGGGCACCATCCAGGACAGGGCAGAGAAGGTGCCCTGTGAGCTCCCAGCCCTCACACAGGTCCAGTCCAGTTGGCCTGGTTGTGTCTATTTTGCTGTGTGACTGAGTGAGTTTCCCAACATCCTAGAGAACCCGAGGGAGAACCCCAGTTTAGTCTCAGGTAACTGGGGGGTTGTTTATGTCCTGAAGTTCCAGCCTGTAGATGGAGTAATTGATCTTGATGGAGGCACTCACACTGGCGCATCCCATTTGAAGGGTTTGATATTCTCTTTATCTCTCCTTTATGGTTGTTACCACGTAGTAGCTGAAGACTACTGACGCACAGACTCTGATGGAGCTGGGTTCGCATCCTGGCTCTGCCACTTACCAGAGGCTGGGCCTGGGCAGCTCCTCTACCCAGGCCCAGCCTCCTGCTCTAAAGCAGTGAAATGCACTTGAGAGCGCTTGTCCCCCAGGGCTGATTGGAAGGAGAAGCCTTGGAGGTTAGACTCTTGGCACTGCTCAGCAGGGCAGTCGTTGAGTGGGGACAAAGAGCAGAGCTACAGTGTATGTGACACAGGCTTGGGGACTTGGTGGCCCACAGGGAGCCCTCCTCTGCTGTGTGAGTGGGGTGCTTCCATCTAGCACGGGTCAGGCTGCTGCTGTCCACAGTGTTTCCAGGATGGTGGGCTGGCTGGGCTGGTGAGTGGAAGGAGCCAGGATGAGCTGGGGTGGTGCATGCCTGAGTCATCTTTGTGTCTTGGGGTCCAGCATGTGGCAGGGGCTCTGGTGGGAACAGTGGCTGCCTTGGAGGGAGTGAGGTGGGGCCCTGGCCTGCACTTTTGGGGGTGTGGTAGGAGGACACAGTTGCTGGGTGAAGGGTTCTCCCCAACAAACTTTGACTCTAACTCCAGGAGACATGCGTCCCCACCTGTCCCAGGTGTGCAGCCCCTGCGCCCGTCACTGGTTATCTAATGGTCGTGCTTCTCCCTCTCTCTCCACATTCAGTGGCAAGCTCAGGAGGTAGTGGCCCAAGCCCAGCTGGAGGGCCACCGGTCCATGAACCCGTGCCCCTTGTACGACGAGCACACAGGGACCATTTTCCTCTTCTTCATTGCCATCCCAGGGCAAGTCTCCGAGCAACACCAGCTGCACACCAGGGTCAATGTGACGCGGCTGTGCCAAGTCACCAGCACCGACCACGGGAGAACCTGGAGCCCTGTCAGAGACCTCACTGGCTCGGCTATTGGCCCGGCCCACAAGGAATGGGCCACCTTTGCAGTGGGCCCGGGGCACTGTCTGCAGCTGCACAACCAGACGCAGAGCCTGGTGCTGCCCGCTTATGCCTACCAGAACCTGCCTGGTGCCCAGGGGCCATCCCCCTTCGCCTTCTGCTTCCTCGGCCACGACCACGGGGACAAGTGGGAGAGAGGGGGCTTTGTGGCCCAGGACACCCTGGAGTGCCAGGTGGCTGAAATCAGGACTGAGGGTCAGAAGCTGGTGTACCTCAACGCGAGAAGCTCCCTCAGAGCCAGGGTCCAGGCCCAGAGTGCCAACGGTGGGCTCGATTTTAGGGAGCCCCGACTGGTGAAGCAGCTCATGGAACCGCCCCACGGCTGCCAGGGCAGCATCGTCAGCTTCCCCAGGCCCAGCTCGGGGTCAGGCTCCTCTGAGACGTGGCTGCTCTACACCCACCCGACTGACCCCCGGCAGAGGCTCAACCTGGGTGTCCACCTCAACAAGCGGCCCCCGGCCCCCGAGGCCTGGTCCGAGCCAGTCCTGCTGGCCACAGGCAGCTGTGCCTACTCGGACCTCCAGAGCATGGGGACTGGCCCCGACGGGTCCCCGCTGTTCGGGTGTCTGTACGAATCAGATAATTACGAGGAGGTCGTCTTTCTCATGTTCACCCTGAAACAAGCCTTCCCAGAGGAATTGCCGCCTCAGTGAGCCAGCTGGGCCGGCGAGGAGGGCCCCTTCCTGCTTCCATGTTTTCTCCCGTGTCCTCTGGACTTGGAGGCCACCCTTGTTTCCCCTCATTAACAGTGAGTGCAGAAGTCGGCCTCGCGGCTCTTTCCCTCCCTCCTCCTTGCAGTCTTTCTGGAGGATTCTATTCATCTTTTCAGCCCAGAAACTGAAGGAGCCTGGCTTCTGAGTCCCTGGGTGGAAAGGTGCCACGAACCTGCCTGTCCCCCACTGCCAGCTCCGTGTAGGTCTTGGTGAGTCACCTGGTCCATCCCGGTTCTTGTCTCATCTGGCTGAAGAGAGGGAGGGTACTGCACCTGTGTGCTGCTTGCCAGAAAGAACGGGCAGGGTCGGGGATGAGGGGATGTATAACTGAGACCTAGCAGGCACAGTGGGCACACTCTGGGTGAAGGGCACACTTACAACTCCGACTTTAAGTATACAAAAGCTAATTATGTAACCAAAACATGTGTCCCTGTAATATTCTGAAATTTAAAACACACATGTTTAAGTGAGTGTCCTACCACAGAGGGGGAGCAGCGGCTTCCTGATTGTCTTGAGGGGTGACACCCCCGAGGGAGCCTGGCCTGGGTGGAGGAGGCCAGCACCCTTCTGACTCCTGGGCACCTCCAGCGGCTTTGTTACATGTCCTGTGGAAGAATGAGCTTGCTCCTCACCCACAGTACCTCTCTAATTGACTGTCTCATCTGGCGGGACGGGTGACAATGGTCATAGGTCCTTGCAGCTGAGTGGTGTCTCCATCTGGCCAAGCCATGTGTACTTTATCACACACAGGTGTGTCTCAATAAAAACAAAAGTTGGACTGAATAGTGGATTTGCTAGTTTAAGTTCCAAAGCTGTATTTTATGCTTGGTTTTAAAATTTTGAAATAGAATTTTTAAAAACACTTTTAATTTTGAAATAACCTTAGATTTAGAGAGAAGTTGCAAATAGCACAGAATGTTCCTGTCTACCCCACACCCAGCTCTCCTTGATGTTACTGTCTCACCTAAGTATGATACATTTGTCAAAACTAAGAGGTTAACATCAGTACATGGCTATTTACTGAGCTCTGAGCTTTCTTCAGATTCACCAGCTTTCCCACTAATGCCCTTTTTCTGTTCTAGGATCCAATTCAGGATACATTCAGTACATTTAATGAAACAGAGTCTTTACTGTAAGAAATTTATATCCTTAGAGACACATACAACTCCAGCAGACCCTCCCCTCTGCCCAGTTTTTCCTAAAAATCACCTCTTAAACAAATAGATAAATAAGCAAACGCAAAGAATGTGTGCTGCCTTGGTGGGATAGTGGAGAGCATAGCTGCCTTCCGAGGAATGTGTGCTTCAGGGCCAGCTTCTTGGTGTGCAAATGTCAGAGGCAGTAGTTTAGCCTCTGGAGCTCAGGAAGGTGGCCCCCCAAATCGGTGACACAGAGCTCCAGGTCCAGGCTGTGGGATGTTGTTGGGGGCTACCTTGGTCAGTGGTGAGCCCATTGGCATTGCCCAGGACATCTGGGGGTTGGAGTGTGTGTGCATGTGTGTACCCAGGAGCGTGACCACTGGATGTCCATTGCCAAGTCCAACCTGGGCGCTGGTGGACAGCCCTATTCAGCCAGGCCAACAACAAAGGTGACACAGCAGGCAGGAGGGATGTCCGGGCCTCACCAATATGCAATATGCTCTCCTTAGCACAGACCAGGGAAAACAGGAGCTTGGTTTGGGGAGCCCCATGGCCCTGGTTCTTGCAGATATTTGACTCAGCACGGCCATCACCCGTCTCGCCTCTGAGCAGTCACCCAGCTACCCAGACTCTTTAGATGCCACCTTTAATTTTATCTTCTGATACAGCCTTCCAGCTGGGCTGGTCTCAGGTGATCTACTTTGTTTTGTGGCCTGGGTGGGACAGTGGGAGTGACTTGGACTCCTGGAGCTTAGGAGGCCAGCCCTGGGAAGACACTGGGGAGGGGCAGGGCAGCTGGCATATCTGCTACTGGGGAGGGGGCCAAGGCATGGTTGGCTGTGCCCTCCTTGACAACGACATCCATGTCCTGATCCCTGGAAACTGCAAATGTTACGTTACATGGCAAAAGGTGCTTCGCAGATTCGATTAAGTTACTCTTGAGATGGGGAGAGTAGCTTGGATTCTCCAGGTGGAACAAACATATCATCACAACTGTCTTTATAAGAAGGAGGCCAAGGGGGAGTTGACCGGGGGGAAGGCAGGGGAGTGGGGGGCTACATCTGCCACTCGGAGCTTGGAGCTGAGGAATGCAGCTAAGGAAGTGTCCCTGAGTGCCTCTGGGGAGTGTGGTCCTGTGGACAGCTTGACTTCAGCCCGGTGAAACTGGCTTCAGACTTTTGTCCTTCAGCACTTCAGAATAAAGGTGTGTTGTTTTAAGTGGCCAAGTTTGTGGTGATTTGTTGTGATGGCAACAAACTAGCACAGCCTGCCCCTTCTTGCCTAAGTGCCTGCGAAGTGTGTGCTGAGGAGTGAGGACGGTGCATCTGCAGCTGCTCTGGGCCCGGCTCCACACCCCCGTCCACCTCCAGGCCATGATGCAGACCCTTCTGGACAGGTTAGAGGAGAAACATAAAGAGAAGAGAAAGATTAAAAAGGGGCCATTTTAAAAAAAAGGGGGGGCCATTTCTGTCATGTCCTCATTTAAGTCTTCTCTTTGGTCAGCCCAACATCTGAGGGCTCAAGGAAAATGACGAGGGTATTGGCATTTATACATAGCCTGGTGAGCTGTGCTGTCAGCCTTTCCTGAGACTGCAGCGTCCTCTGTCCCACCAGGGAGTCCAGGCCTTCCGCATCTGAGAGGAGTCCAGCCACCATGGCCAGGGGAAAGGGCAGACCCACTCTCTGGGGAAAGTGGGAAGTCTGTGTTACCATGGTGACCTTCCACTCCTGCTAGCTGCCCCATTGAGACCTGGACCATTTCCCAAGTTACTGTCTATACCCGGCCCACCACTGACCCTTGAACACAAGACTGAGCTCAGCGGTGCCTTGAGAATCCTTAATCCCCATCTGGGCTTTTCTTTT